TGATGTATATCTATATTAACAGAATCATTTGACGTCATCACGTGTCCAGAACTGTTCACAACCGATGATTAATACATTGTCATATACCTGATGTGCTGGTCGATAGTATAATCAGATGTCATCTTCTGACCGTGTATACGTTTCTCGCAACCATGAGCGGAATTATGCAATTGTAACAGCTCGTTTTAAAATCTAGAAGAAACTCGCCTGCACTTACCAAAACTGTCCGGGTCTATGGCCGCGTAAGGCAAAGATAATTTTAATAGCATATTTATACGACACTGAGAAACTGATTTCATGTTTGTATTACCGATTTACTAACTGTTTTACATTGCTTTCCAATTCGATGCAATGTCTGAAAACAAACTGGGCACATGCTATTTAGTTAGGAATAAGACAATACAAGTGACGCTACGATGACCGATCTCGACTGCGTGAATTGTATATTGAAATAGTAATTGTGTATGTATAATAAGCGCAAGCAAATATGCCAGTGTTTGATTTTGTAAACGCAGATACATTATTGAGGGAAGTATCGTGACATAAAACATTTGGCGCTATTGCGTTGAAATGATTTGTTTTTTGAGTTCTGTCGTACTCTGCTATTATATATATTATTTAACAAACATACGTCTCAAAATTGTGAACTGTTTGGATTTCTTTAATATTTCAACAGAATGTGTGGCATACTGGCATTGTAAGGGCGATTCTCTCACCACACTTTGGTAATTGAAGGATTAGCTGCTCAAGGCCAATGTCACAATTACCTTATATAACATTATTGAAATGTTATTTCAGAGGTGATACCTTGCAGTACTAACGTATTTGCAGTAAGTTCATGAAGAATATATAGATTCTACACGAAGGCTTAGTTTATCGTCAACTGTGGCGCCCGATAGTGCTTACGAGACTTATTTATTAAAATGCTTATTGGCTGGCCAATGGCAGTGAGTCGCGTAACGTAATTAAAACATTTCCTCGAAGTTTGTATAATCATGCAGTTTGTTCATTTTCCGCAACCCAGTTCACTACAATGTTTAAGTCATACTGCGCATAGGCAACAGCAATGTTTGCATTAGCTTCGGGAACATTACCAACGGTACCATCAGCATGGTATTTAATAATGTGTATTTCACAACATCATTCATGTCATGTATAAAAAAGTAAAAATACTTGCACTGCCCTGACAAGTCAGTAGAGGGTACTTAGTTTTCCTCGCCGCCCTATCTCCGTTCCGACTAAATGAATCATATTTTTATAGCAGCTGAAATTGATGTATCCATGCACAGTTAACAAAAAACTTGGGCCAGAAAAATATAAATAATGAGAACACAAATAAAATAAACCAATCAATAATGCGAGTTAAATAATGCAAGATCAATTAGATTGTGAAATACATTGACAGGGGAGTGTAAAATAATACTAGTAATTCCCGGGGCGTTCTTTCGAATATGTTCACAATATATGAATGATGTTGAGTACAATATTTTCTCGCTAAAATGCATGTTACCTTTTGTAACGTATATTTCAGCAAACTGAGATTCACCAATCGTCAGTGAAACCCAGCTTTGGAAAATTATACGTAAACAAAATAAAGCACTATGCAGTTACAATATACAATGTGTTAACCCTATGACACGGCCACAAATTCTATTGCTGAGTAGAGCCACTGGTACAACTGACAGACTCATAACAATTCCTGTGTTTATAACAGTCATTTTTTCGCCAATGTTTTTCAGGTGGACTTTCACAACACTGCTCGAGATCTAACTCTTTGTTCGTGTGAGATATTTTTTAACGATTGTCCCAGTATCTGGATACTAGATACTACACCACGGGGGATGAAATTGCAATTTCAAGCTCGAATACTAAAATCTTGTTTTTTAATCTACCTTGAGCCTGTCTGAGGTTAGTGATCTGCTTTAAATCCTCGGTACGCTTGAATGTAGTTATATATGTTATTATTTAGTGCATCTGTAATATATTTGATTTGTAAATGTTGTAAATAATGACAACAGACACGTGTTCACATTCATATCAACATAATCAGACCCACATGATTAGCCAATACAATCTTCAAGGAAAGTTGACGTATTGTATGTCTGACAATACACAGTACATTACCCTGTATTTACACAAGTTTAATTAAAGTGTAACAAAACAAAACAAAACAAAACACACACAAAAATAAAAATAAAAAAAAAAAAAATAATATAAATCGTCACTAATGCATTGTATGCATAAAATGTGATTTTAAACTAAAGATACATTTACTGACCTGGTTACTAATTTTGTTTGTTGAGCTTAATGCCAAACATCAACTGATGAAAAAGTAATAGTTATAAAATGATACCATATCACTGGATCTGCCTTCAAATACCCAGCGCTCCGTACTTTCCAAAACCTCCTCCTAAATACAATATTTTTAGCTTGCGCTATATTCACAGACACTTTCCAAGTTGAACACAAATCTATTTAACAACTTGTATATGTCAATAGTAGTACTGTTAAATAAACAATACCATCTGCATATAAAAACTAATAAAGTCATAAAAGTCCTACATAAACCCAAGCTTAAGAAAGACTGAGAAGCTTTCTGAGAAGTCTTCCTAAGAAAAAGCAGAAAAAATACAACGTGTTAACACAAGCCGATATAGTTTTCTACGTTGCGTGGAGAGACTTGATTAATTTGCCTCGCATTTCTAGCTGGACTAATATTACAAATAATGTATAATGGTCTACTCCGTCGAAAGTTTTTCGAATTCGATGACAGGTATTTGTTGACAGTGGTACTCATAATAACAATGTTATCACCAGGAAGGCAATCTGGTCCTGTAGTCTTACCAATTTCTTTTAATGGTGGCTTTAATCTCGTCAATCATTATTGTAATGTTTCATGAATAATCGCAGGGAATTTGTTTGGGCCATTCATATCTGCAGTGTCCACAAATGGTTTCATTAATTCGTAAAAATCAACTTAATATGTAGTATCTAGATTTTGTCGTCGTAATTGTGTTAAAATATTCTTGCCAGTCATAGGTGGAAATATTGTCGGAGGGACCACATATGTTTGTTTTAACTAATGACTAAACATTCTTGGAACTTTTGCTTAATGCCGCCAGTTTTAGCTTATTGATATTGTTACGCTCATACGTATTTTTTCTTTTTTAGTTCGACGTAGTAACGAAATTTCATTAGATATTAGACATTTGTGTCTTCTTATTTATGCAAACCACTGCAGCATCTGTATACATGCTTAAATACTTAGCTCATCATCCAAAATTCCCAAGACTTTCTCATTTGCATAAACATAGAAACAAGCTGGCGAGTGATAGCCAATCAAATTGGAGAACACATAATACAACATTTTTACGTAATTAACATCCGATGTATATCGTTAGATGCGCTGCCAAGTCTTTGAATATGTAAATCCTTTTAATGCTTGTAGAACGTTGAGATACAATCATCGTTTCTAACCTACTGAATTTGTTTTCTATTCACATGCAACGAAATGAAATGTGAAATGTCATGGTTGTGTGGCAATCGAGCCTCGACAAAAGCCTTAATTGCTAACCTTTGAAAATAGACCATTCATGTTCCAGAATAAAAAGTTGAATAGGAGCAAACCTGAATTATGTTCGTTATTGTCGTTGTCATTATTGTTAATTCGAGTCCGAAAGAATCCCGAGCCTTGGCATTCATCCTATGATCACTTGGTGTGTAAAAAATCTGGCGACTTTATTATATTCATCATACAATTCACCATCTATTTTTAGTTTGTCGTATTTAGAATGCGCTGTTTTGCCCACTGTAGGCGCTTTCATCAATAATTTGCCAAAGGTTTCCATCTTTTCTATCGTACTTTCGTTGGTAGGTCCATAGCGATTTTATAATCAGGGTCTCTTAGTTTGTAAACAGATTCTAAAACCTTGTCTATTTGTTTATACTCTTTAATTTTGAAACAATTGGTCTAGACAGTAGGTTCGAGTTTACCAGTCGGCGCGCCGTCTCGTACTTGATTTGCTTATTACTATCCATATCAAGATTCAATGTTATAAATTCCTTTAATTTGGTTTTAGTTTCATCCCATGACTCTGTGTGTGCTTTCAAATCAATTCTTTAAAAAAAATGAAATTGTCTCATTTCATTTGGGCTCCCGGTTTTTAAGTAGCTAAGTTTGGCTTTATCGGATATAAAGTTTAACCAACACTGAGGCGTTATATCCCATAACACACAATTTTGAGTGAGGGTTATTCAATTATACCACAAATAAACAAACAAATATGAAACTGAAAGACAGTTTGACAATGACATTGTACGGCGATTAACATATGTTAATTTACATGAATACTAAATATATAGTGTACACATCGTCTTTTGCTCATGAATAATTTAAAGTACCACTATTTTTTCCTCTCTACGATTCTAAGCCAGGAACTTCTCGTAGTCGGGGGTTCTCTATTACGTATTCAATGCCAGGGTGTTCGTAACGTTTCCAAGATTTTAGCTATAACCTTGATTTAACGACCTCCAAACGACCCATTGGCTTGCCTCCGTGAGAAATCAGTCATAGGTGCACCTGTACTTGACCAGACGCCATTACATGATTGTCATTTTTTAAAAATTGAACCCGAATATATTATTAAACACTCAACACCTATACACATTATTCGTTGATTATTCTGGCCCAGCTGTATGACGTAAGTTATTGACATTCAACATCTCACGCCCCAATTGACGTATTTGCCAGCTACTGAATACTATAGTGTGGACATAGTATACCATGACATTCTTGTGTTAATCAAATGACCCGGGTTTTGTGACGACTCCCAGATTATTGTTATCAAATCAAAAGTATCCTGAATAAACATATATTTAATTGTTCGTGACCCATAGCATGAGAACGGAATCATTAAACTACGCTCTCACTCGACTTGACACACACTTTGACCCTGTGAAGATACATAAGGCACATAATAAAGATTAATGTACACAACATAGTATTTGATGCTTCAATGTTTATTGACATCTAATGAATATATATTTATGTAATATGGATATGTAGATTACTATAATAAATGTCTCTACGTATAGATAGTGTGCTGTATTATCTCATGGCCATGACACCGTTGTTGTTTACAACTCTAAAACTGGGTAATCTCAGGTCATACACTCTCATTTCATCTTTCTGGTCAACACTAAAAGAAGTTCGCCATGTTTTCTGCGCAGGTCGCACAGGCTGCACCACCTCTACCACAGTCAGATTCGTCAAAACCAGAGATAAAGTTGGCACATGTCGCACATTGACTTGCAGTGCATGCATCTGCTTCCTGTGGCAGCGCCACCATCATCAGTCCAACCAAGAGGAGAGCGATCATTGCAACTTTCATCTGGAGGAGAGAAAATACAAACACACAAAGTGTTTAGAGTACCCAGTATGTCAAGATTAACATACAACACAATTTGTATTTGTTGATTTATTTCGGGAATTGCTTTTTTTTGCAACACTAAAGCCTTAAAGGGCGGTGGTCGTCGCCCTGCACATGCGCAACATTTGTGTTGATAAATATTGGTTTTCCCTCAATCCAATGCGCTATTTTAATTGAAATCATAAGTAAGAGGTTTAACCTGGGCGCGACTTGCACTAATTACTGCCGGTGACTGCTTCGATACCTTCCACTCACATAGAAAATATCTAATTGAAGCTTGGCGATGTATTAGTTTGTACTCGTTGATTTACGCAACATCTCCGTTTATATGAGACCTACATATCACGCGCGTGAGTGGCGCGACGACTACCGCCCTTTAAAGCTTTGATGCACAGTACGCACCACAAAATGCCTGGTGCGTAAAGTTAAATTTTCTGGAAATTGAATTGGGATGGTTTCACGTGTCCGTATGTTATACATTATGTGCAGTTAAGTAAATACAGACTAGAATAGCGACTGAAGTATTACGATAGAGTTTCAAAGTGCACAATATTGTTACAGTAAAAAAAAACAATAAAATTTGGCAGCCTAATTGTACACATCGTGATTCATCGAAAGGCAAAAAAGACATATCTTTGCAAAAAGTACAACCAATGGCGTCAAGTGTATATTGTGATGTGACTCTAATATTGAAACGACTTACTTTGTTAAGTGAAGGTTTATTTGCTGAGAAACCGTTGACGTGCAGCTACTGTAAAATAGAGTGCAAAATAATAGTTAGCATAATGTTTATATGGTAATGTAATGTAATGTAACACATTTATTTGTAAAACTCCAAAGACGATACACAAATGTTTCGAAGGTTTGCATTTTGGAGACTTTCTAAGCTTTAGAATGTCATTATTTCCAGACAAAATTATGTGCACATTTATCTTCCATTTGTTTAGATGTAGCCCATTGAGGGCCAAAATCACTCGACACTTTTTGTAATATGGAAATTTACAAATTTGTTTTGTATTTTGTCAATAATGTTAAAGATTTGTAGACGATTTTACTCAGAATTAACAAAAATATCGTAATGTATTTGTTGAATTTGGATACAATTTCCAAATGTTCGTACTCATTTTATTTTGAAAAATATTGCAACAAATTGCAGATTTATATTTGAGATTTATATGCAGTCAGTTAAATTTGACGTTCAAAGTGAGAATATAATACTATCAAATAGCACAAGAAAAATACCAACGCGCTTACATGTATGGAAAGCGGCCCGTCCCTGCGTTGTTTGCTGAGCGAGCTATGGGAATATAGCAAATGAAAAAATGTAATGGCGAAACGCATAAACTGACGTATAGAATTAAATATCTGCTCTTACCTTAGCTTGTCTCACACAATGTCAAGTCGCGAAGATGACTATATCGTTATTTCAAGGCATATTTATACAAGTTCGAATTGATAGTATCACACACTTTGGTAAAAACATGACAAATACTCGGATATTAGTTTATCCTATCTTATAACCGTGACCGTGGTCACTGTGTGGTCGAAATATTACAATGTACATTATCCAAGTCAGTTATCATTTAGATCACCTGAATGATAAGTTTCACCCCTGAGAATAGTTCCTTTGCAAATTATAGTTAATTAATTGTATACCATTAACATAACAATGTAGAGCATGACATTGGAATACTGGGTGGCAGAAAAGAAGCTGTATGAGTAGGACGCCAAATCCAAATGCATCTGTAATTCAGACCAGTTAATAAATCGATTACGTGAATGCGGATGTTTTACATGCTTTTGATGCATCTTTCAAAACTGGAGTTGATTTGCTTTGATTCACAGTTTTTGTGAACAACAGTTGTACGTTTGTTTTGACGTTTTTAGACATTCTTAATTAGAAGTGGATCAAATAGATATAGTTTAAAAATTATTGGGAAAATAGAAAAGCAATTGTTACAAAGGAAATAAAAGCTGGGTTTGGCGCACATAGGCCAGCAATGTTATTGAAACGATTCCACTTCTATGTCATTCCGTATTTCACGTGTGAATAGATACATTAGTTATGATAACGTCACCGTTCATTATTTTTAAAAGTCGACTGTGAAATAAGAATTCACATTAAACGGCAAAAATGTGGTTAAGGTTCAGCATTTTGTTGTCAGGTTTAGTCTTTTCACGATAAAACAATGATCATTAATTGAGGTAAGCGACGAAAACACAGTGTATAGTAATAGCTGTGTGCTTGCATGCGATTCATTAGACAAAATTGCAAATTACGTTTTTTGTGTACACGACCATGAAACACAGTGAATGGAAAACATTACACAAAGTACGATTTGTGTAATTATGAATTCTCTGTCATAATGTCCATCACGCGCAGATTTTTAATCTTGAAACCTAACTTTTTAACAATAAAATGTATAAATACAAATATAAAACCTGACTAGTTCTTCCACAAACTGGCTAATATTTGGTTATAATAATATTGAGTAGCATGTCCATGATAATGCGACCGCGTTCTATCCACAATTTAAAGTGTGAATAAGTATATTTTGTCATTACACTTCAAAAAAATTGTTTTTGATATTTGGTTTTTAATATCCTAATATACGTTTTTTGCACGAATACGAATGTGTTTGGTGAATCGCGTGGCAAGCACTCATATATTTGCATTTATCAGGTACATATATAGAGCACTAATTGTACTTTCGTTCATTATTGGTACACAAAAGTTAATTTTCGTTTACCGATATATTTAATACAGTATTTGCTCATAAAATTTGAAACCGCATCGAAAACTACACCATGCCTCCTATTTTACTTAATGTGACATTTCGGAGTGACATATCGACATAATATTGTCTCTAGTTACATAATACTGGAATTTTATTCCTATGTCGCAATTCTGAAGAACCACCTCTTTTCCAATATGTCCAAATATAAATAATGTGAATGAGTAATGCGAAATCTGCTGCATAATATAAATTTAAGCGATCCTCAAAAATTAACTTTGATTTGTAAACAATGTACATTCACTGGGTTCAGCGAGTTTGTTTGTTTGTTTGTCTTGGAACGTCAGTTACATTTTAGATATATTAATCTACGGTCTCAATGAGATTTCGAGGTCATTTGCGAATGAGGTCAATACGCAATGCCAGTAAATGTTTGCTTTTCATCTAAGTAACTGTAATTTTGAGTTTGTCCTTTTGTTTGAATCGTGTCTTACTTGTATGGTCGGTGACATATGTAATGCGTTTAGATAATTATATTATATGTCATATACTACATATATACTACATTGTTCCGTAATCAATACCAGTGAACTTAACTGTTTTATAACAAAAAATTCAAATCAAATCCAGATTTCTGATGCTACTGAGTTTAAAACCTGCAAGACGATACAGGAATGTTTTGGAGTACTACATTTATCTAGGCTTCCTATGCTTTAGATTGTCATTATTTCCCGCCAAAATGATATGCAACTTGTTCTTCCGTTTTATTGGATGTCGCCGTTTGAGCGCCAAAATCACTCGACACTTTTCGAATCACCGTGACCGTGGACACTGTGTGGTCGAAATATTACAATGTACATTATCAAAGTCAGTTATCATTTAGATCACCTGAATGATAAGTTTCACCCTTGAGAATTGCCCCATTTTTAAATGTTAATAAATTTTATATCATTAATATAACAATGTAGAATCTGGCATTTGATTATTGGGTGGCAGAAAACAAACTGTATAACGAGGAATCTAAATCCAAATACATCGATAGTTCAGATCAGTTGAGCAATCGATCATGAGAATTCGGAACTTTAATGCACTTTTGGTGCATTTTTCAGAATTGGAATTAATTTGTTTTTTTTGTTCACAGTACTTTAGTCATTCTAATGACGGGGAAAGGATGTTGTATCACTGTTTTATGTTGCCTGCATGTCTATATCAAAGTTATTGGGAAAATAGAAATAAAACAGAACAATAAACGGTTAACGGTTTCATCATTTTGTTGTCAGGTATAGTCTTTGATAAATAATGACCATTTATTGAGAAGGTCGAGGAAAACACATTTGTGTAACAGCTGTTTTCCTTAACGCAGATTTATCCCTAATTACACAGTCATGAACCACAGTTCAGGGAAAACATTACACAAAAATTATGATTTCTGTACTCTGACATATTGCAAATTTTGAATTCATGAAACTAATTTTTTTTGACAACAACAAATATATGAATTGCACTCCTGTCTTGTGGTTCGACAAACCGAGCATATTTGGATATAATAACATTGAGTTGCACGTGCATGACAATGAGACCGCGTTCTATTCACTTCTCAAACATGCTTTCCCCTAACATCATTACAACCTCAACTAGTAACACATGTATAAAGTATTATATTCCAATGGTCAACTGTTCACTCTGTGAAATTAGAAGAACAATTTTTATAGTAAAATTCAAACGTTGTTTTATTGTATCCGTTATTTTTAAATACTAAACAATCACCGATGATAAATAGTCTGAAGTCTGAACAAGCACATTTTGTCACTAAACTGCATACACATATTCTTTGATAGATATCGGCCTTGAATAATCTTATATTATATAATATGTTTTTGCATTAATGCGAATTTGTGTGGTGAATCGCGTGCAATCACACAATTTTTGCGTTTACCGGGTAAATGTATAGAAACTAATTAAGCTTGAGTTCAATATTAGTGCAAAGAAGTTAATTTTCATTAAGAGCATTGCGAATAACAATATACTTAAATACAGTATTCGTTCATAACAAAATAAACCACGTCGACACATACACCATCCCTATTTGACTCAATGTATATTTTGGAGCGGGAAAAGTTTGTTGAGTTACCTTATTGAAAACAAAAAAATTTCTTTTCATATGGTTTACGTTAAGTTGGGACAATCAGTGAGTAGAGAATGAAGTTTTAAAATACGATGCAAACTTTTAACTGACACAATCGACATAATACTGTTACAATATACTGGAATTTTTATTTCGCACATTTCTGAAAAACCACATTCTGGCCGATGTGTACATCATCGAATGAAGAAATGAGAAATCTGCTGCAAAATATGAATTTAAGCGGCCCTCCAAAATTAACTTGGATTGGTAAACAATATACTTTCACTGAGTTAGGCGATTTTGTTTGTCTTGGAAGATAAGTTACATTGTAGATATGTTAATCTAAATACCCGCGAGTAAAACGGGAATGGGGAATTGTGCATAGGATATCTACTTTATCTACTTCTATATACTCAATATTCAGAGTGACTGAAACTGAGTCTACCAAGTGATGTGTTTGTGTGATGACTTGTGATTGGAAGTTAAATTTTGTTTTGGTTTTACATGTTCGCTTTACAGTTGAGCGCTAAAATTGTCATTCTAAATTACTATCACGAATTTCTGATATAAATACAATGACACAATTATTAAAATGACCAAATATGGCAATGGAGACTATGTCACATGTCCTCTTCGCGTGGTTCTCTCGGTCGCAATGAGATTTCGGGGTCAATTGCTAATGAGGTCAATACGCAATGCCAGTAAGTGTTTGCTTTTCATCTAATTAAATGTAATTTTGAGTTTGTCCTTTTGTCTGAATTGTGTCTTACTTGTATGGTCGGTGACATATAATGCGTTTAGATAATAATATTGTGTTTAAAATCAGGGTTCGTCGATTTTTATTGGCCCTCTGGTCAGCAGTTGAATGACACCTCCTCGGTTTCCTTCCAATGCGACTTCATTTCGAATTTGTCTTTGATAATTTGTGTTTCTGGCGTTTGAGTGATTGAGTAGTAAAGACTGTGAATAGCCATTGTGTAGCAAAATATTACTAAAATATTCTGTAAAACACAATACATTACGGGCAACAAAAAGCGTTTTGCTTCGCTTTTTATAGAGCCTGCTCCGACCCATTTCGGGTCGTCTGACTGAACATAGAATAGTGTTGAACACGGCACGATTCACTGCGGATTGCGAAAACAGTGCGTCATATAATGTCATCTGTATCGTTAAAGTTTGAGAAAAATGTTGGACTCAGCGTCACACGTTGTTGATCGCTATGTTTGTATAACTGCATGATTATCTCACCATATTTACGTAATATATTAATCCCTTTCCTCAGTGGCGTTGATAAGAAGCCATGACCGTTTGCACGCAAGGCTGTAACTTAGTGGACGATTTTTCACCCGTTTCCCTCAAATTGTAAAAACATTTATTTAATTTTTTTAAGTGACGTTTGAACGCCGGCAAGTGTCGGGGTGTGGTGAATTTTGGCATTTAGTCGTGATGTGATAGCCATTGTTGTGAACGATAAGCGTCATTTTCATAAAACATTCTCTCCATTCCTGTTTTCCGGCTGGTCAGATGATTGACACGTAATTTACTCTCACATTTTTTTTCGTTTATTCTGAAATGTTCACACCATTTTGACGACGTCTTTGATTTGAATGTCCCAGGCCAACTGAAAAAAA